TTGTAACTTCTGTAAAGTCCTTGGGCCACTCTCCACTTTCATATATGGTGTTCATTAGTTTTGTCAGTGTTTTCAAACCACCTTCTCCCAGTAACTTGAGCACATCTCCAGGTACATCATCATCTCCTGTAGCCTTTCCCTTCGTCATTTCCTTGATAGCTTTTTCCACCTCACTTTGTAAAATATATGGTCCTTTCCCGTCTGTATCTACTTCTTCTTCCGGTTCAACTTCTAAGGTTTCTGGCCGATTAGGTTGATCATATAGTTCTGTAATATACTTTTCCCAAATTTTCAGCACTTGCCTCTGATCTACTATTCTATTCCCCTGGAAGTCTTCGATGCCAACATTTTGAATCCCAGGATTCTCTTTCCATCCTAGTTCTTTTGTCTTCATGTACATCAAATCATCATCAAATACTTTTGTATTACAGTGGCATATTTTTTGTTTAATTATATTATATCTTTCATCGCTTGGTAATATTGAGCTGCTTCAAATTCTTTTGATAATGTTATTTTGAATATTCTGCTCTTTTGTTATCTTACTGAATGATCCAAAATATATCTTCATTCTAGAATATCTTCACTTCATTCATTCATCAGTAATCTGTCAGATGACAGGTCCACAGTCTCTTCCAAAAACACTTCCTCCACTTAATGTGATCACAAACTTTCTCCTTCGAATAAAAATATCCTCTTCTGTCCCCAAGGTCATCCAGCATCTTCTTACGTCTTCTTCCTTGTTTTCTGGTCATTCCGGTTTGTTTTGTCTCCAGAGGAAATGACCTACACTTTGACCTGTCCAGCAAGGGAGGCCCTGCCAGTAGGTACGCTACCACTGGTATAGCTCTCAGGGTCCTTGGCATACTCAAACCCCCTCACCACGATAAGGTGGAGACACCAACGAGGGGGATCTTCACTTATGTCTTCAATTTCGCAACCTTCTTACCATTTAATTTGAGCCATGGTTTTCCTCAGTTCCTTTGTTGAATCATTGAATGTCCCGAAGTTTGAGAATCATTATTTTCTTGTAATGTTCTAAAATAGGTTTGTCAGCCATTTTTATTAGTGAAATGCAATTGTAACAAAGAAAAAAGAAGAAAATTGGTGAGAGTAGGTATCATTGTAAATATTTTATCAGTTAAGAATACCATGTTTACATTAAACTGTGACCTTATGTCATTTGAGATCTATCTGAAAATGCGAATGTAACCTGTGAAGTTTTGACTTAAAATAGATTTGTTGGTAAAATATGTTCTTCCTGTATATATTATTATATGTGGATTTTGAACATTTGACTGTTACTTTTGTTGAGATTAATATGTGCAGCTAATTGTGAATATGTTTTTCTGTATCTAGACACAGAGAATATCCGGTTCGTGTTTGCAGCAGTGAAGGACACAATTTTGCAGTCGAACCTGAAGGAGTACAACTTGGTGTAGGCGTGTGTGGTGGGCTTCCCGCTTACTCATATCACACCACTGCGATGATTGTGTGGACATCATCGTTGGGACCTGTTGCTGTGCGTGAAGCACATTGAGATGTGTGGCTGCTGAAGAGCGACACGCATCTTATGTTTTGAAAATTGAGTAGCACTGTGTGCTTGCGTGTGCGCGCCAATGCTTCAAGAGAGGAACACCACCATCTCGAATCTATCGTTAAAACTGCATTGAATTACTTCCCACTGGATAATTTTTTTTTTAATATTGTCTTACTGGGAAAAAATAGTAACACCATCGCGATTATTCGCCGACAACGGCCTTAGTTGTGTACGTTGTGACGGACGAAGTTGACCTTCTTTCCATAACCCTTGTTCTGCTTTTGTTTGTAATGACTTTGATCCGTTTGGCTTTGTTTCATGTACAATGCAGTGTACTGTTAAAGGATGGGGGGTTGTAATTGCAGGTTGACTGACTGAAGCTTTTGAATACTTTTTATTAGCATATTTGGAATGTCCATAAGTCACATTTAACTAAGATCAACCCTGTGTGTCAATGAACCCCCCTTATGCCAACAGCTGGGGGAAGTTTTATGGCTCGGCAAGTGATGCCTTTTCTAATAATTTCATAATGCCTAATTAAGAAATAGAATGGTAATAGATTTTTTTTTTGGCATCAAAAGGAAGATTGCCAACTGCAGGTGTGTGTACAGTGAATTTGTCACAGGTAGTATACAGGTCACGAGTAATGACTGTTACGTATAAATGATTTTAATTTCTCGTCCTCTTTCCACTAATCTGCACAGGACTTCAGAAATTGTAGAAACGTACATGATGCTCCACATGTGGAACAGTACTTATTTCTCATAATTAACTTTCTTGTGAACTGTCAGAAATACTGTTTCCTCCAGGATTCAAAATTTATTATAAATTATTGTTTTTGAGGATTTGAGATAATGTTGAAGCCTTGTCTGCATATAGTCTTCTGCTGGCAAAAGGATGTTAACATCATGTTAATATCGTTCTTCTGCCTACGCTGTGCATGAGCGCTGGTGTCCAAAGAGCAGCTTTGAAGAGGAAGATAGACTGATGTTTATGATGAGTACAAAGTTGCATTACTTCCACTTCTAAGATAGCTGATGGGAAGCTTTTGTGAGAATACATAGTATTATATTTGAAGATTTGAAGTTTGTGATTTGTGTTCTGTGTAGTCATAGTGGGGGAGGATGTGTTACATATTTCCATAAGCCATGTTTTTTAACCCTTTAAAAGTGTGAAGTAAAGTTTCATAGATGTGAAGTTGAGAGAATACCAGAAGGTGAAGACTAGGTGCATTAGGGTAATTTGTCTTTAGTTAGAATGAACAGTGTTAGAGATGAAATCAAAATGGAGCAACATATACCGCAGCACCTGTGTTGTCTAAGGAGTTTCCGCATAGCGGTGTAAACAGTTAGGGCTGATATTCTTTGTTTGAGAGGCCTTTCCATCCATCCTTGCATCTATTCCAAGAGAAGACATAGTTTTTCCTTCACCTAAATTTATGTACTAATTGCTGGTGTAGTCACTAATTGATTTGAAGATTACTGTTTTCTGTGAAAGTGTATATTCCAGTAAATGTTTACTGGAGTTTTTGAGGAATGATGTCCCATCCCAGATGATTGTAATCTTCACAGTGACAGCTGTGAGAATCTCATGTGTCATTATTTTATTTTTGCATTATTACTAATGCTTGCATCACTTCCCTTTTCATGACAGTAGAATTGTGATCCATAAATCACAGAAGAAGTTTTTAAAATGTCTTCCTGTAGGATTGATGCTGAGAAAGGAAGCGACCAATTTTGGTGGAAAACATGGCTCACTGTGTCCTGATGTTGACAGTAATGTGACTTGTAGTTGAATTTTTTTGTACACCAAATAGGTAGGGTGGTCTTAATTTTTCAGTCATATGAACTTCTAAATCTATGTGGTTTGGCTGAAACATACTGGCTCATAAATTGAGACATGGAGAGATCAGCCATGTGACATAATAAGTTAACAGGGTTTTCAAATTTAGTATTCAATGGGAATAGTATGGAATTTGGAAGAGTTGTGTTGTACAGGATATAATACCATACAGTCCAGTGAAAATGACATGATTTTCCAGCAGAACATATTACTTCCAACTTCAGAGTCAAAGAATAAGCCATATGTTCCTCTGAAACACTGGTTGACTATCACCTGACTGCATGGTATTACATCCCAGATGGCAGAACTCTTGCTTGGTCACTGCTGTGAGAACCTCAAATCCAGCAGCGTAAATTTTATTGGATTTCAGCAATTGTGGAAACCATCTCAAAGTTCAGTTCTAGTCACTTGTCACTTAGGAATTGGTTATAATGGGTCTTCAGTGTCAGGTGAGTGTAAACAAGTTGTAGTACAATGTTATGCATAGTTAAAATTTTTACTGCTGTTATTTAAGGCCGAGTGTGACTATAGCTTGATTTTAAGGGGCCAATTATCATCCTGCAACGAGAGCTAGTCACATGGCAAATTGCAGTTTGTATAGAAGTTTCTTGTCTATAATATAAATAATGTACAATCAATGAAATCAAAACTATGCTTTCTGCCAGTTCCAGCTGTAGTTATTTAGGTTTGTGTGATGGCATAACTTTTCATGCTTGAAAATTAGACAAGGAAGATGCTATATAGCATGTGATGTAAAGGATCACTGGAATGCTTTTGTGACTTCAGGACTTGAGTGACGCAACAAAGAAAGTAAACCAGAACATTTTGCTCACAATCTCTGGTTGAGAAATGTACTTTCTGACTGTGTGTTGTGTCATATGTTTGTCATAGTTGTCTTTATATTAAATGCACTGATCATTAACAATATTTTTAGTGCACTTTGTTTTCTTCAGTCCTTAATATCTGATAAAGTTGGAACATTTACAGAATAAGTATGATATCACTCTAATCCTGATTTATGAATATGTTTTTAATGCTTTAATTTTGTAATGGATCTTATGTGTTTTCTTTCAGTTTTTCCATATATATGTATGTTAATTTCTGTCAGGTAATTTTGAACTCTTTCATAATAGAGAGTACTATATCCTGGGGTGTGATGTATTCGAATAGAAGCTACTGATGTTTCAGAAGAATATAATGCTTCTATCTTCAGGGTCATTGAGTAAACCAAGCAAGCAAGTAGAGTATTCTGCTTGCTGTGCTTCTCTTCAACCATGAAGAAGGAGGCAAGATATTCTTCTGAAATGCTTTTGTACTTCTACCAGCCTGTACAGTGTCACATGCTGGAAGACGGTGGCACTCTTCATAAGCACCACCGTAAGAACCAGAGATCTCACATTTGGTACAGTTCCTCTCAGTTCTCTAGCAATCAATGTAGGAACTGCCACTTGCTATTAAAGTATGTGTGAGGAATTTTGAGTTTCTGAAAAAGGTTCTTGCAGGCTTTAATATTCGATGATTAAGCATTGTACTGTGCAGCTTTACTGAAACTGTAGACTACATGTTCAAAATTGGATTAGACTGATTCTGTTGTAAACTGTGCCCCATATAGTAATGTATTTATTTTCATTTAAATAGCATTCCAAGTATATGATAAATTGAGTAGTGGTTATGTTCCTTCTGTCTCAAATGAGTGCGTGTTCAAAGCATGCATGCAAAACTTTGCTTCTTGCAGGACTGAATTTTGAGAGTGACATTGAGAAGACATTTTGAAAACAGGTGATTTACAGTACTGTCATAGGCTGTCTTCATTTTGAAATTTTTCCCCCCTCCATTGTTTGACCTACAATGTATACCTTAGTTTTCCTTCATTCATTTTGTGTTCTTTCATTTATCTTTGTTCTTATAAAAAAGTAAGGTTTAGACTCCATTAAGCTCAAATTATGACATGTGAGTTGTTTTGTCAAAATGTTCTTGTTTGTTCTGATATCTGTTTTTCTTTCTATTTTTTTTCGTCTTCCTTGGACTTAACATTTTTGTATTTTGTATAAAGGACACCTCACTGTGTAGAAAGTAATAGGCATGTGCGAGACTTTGAATTTTTGGAATTGAATTGAGAAAAAATCATGCCGTCAACTTTAACATTGATTTTTCAGTCTTCATCATGGAAGAGTTTTTGCCTACATCCACAATAACCTGCAAACTGTCTGATCCATTACAGTCATTGAGGTTGGCAAAGCTAGCATAAATCAACTTTATAGATTTTATTCTTTGAAATGTAGTGGTTTATGAAAATTTTTCATTGAAAAAATGTGATATGAAACAGGATAAGTAGTACACTCCAGAACATTAAAGCGGCTAGTATTTAAAAATTGTGGGTGCAATGAAAGAATTGATGTTTATTCTAGTTCTTGCCGCAGGTCTCCAAATTTTTCCAAATTGTTATCTCAGACTCAAAGGACATTCTCGCACATACCTAGGTGATAAAGAGTTTGTTACATTAAGAGAAGGAGCCAAAATTTTGCATTAGGAAGTGAAGAATTCTGTTACTTGTTGCTGTGAAGAGAACAGCAATCCATTTGTTAAAAAAGTGGCGTGCTGAGCAGTTGCAGTGCCATCAGTGGAATGGTGGTGTTTTTTTAAAAACAAGAAAAGATTTAAAAAATTCTTAGAAGCAGAAAACCGAAGTGTTTTTTAAGAAATGTGAAAAAATAACATCTTTTTCTGTGCATGTGACACATTCACAGTTCGTAATATAAATATTGTTATATATAATATAAAATCTAGTATAGTCTCTAAAATAAAAAAAGAACTTTTCCCCCCTTTACCATTGCAAATATTAGTATATGACTGCTCTTGTTCGTGTGATTAGTATTGTTGCTATTAGTGTGCAAAACAAGATTCACTGTGAAGGTTAAATTTGGTAACAGCTTCCAATGGGAGGATAAATTTCATTGCACAAAACAATAACAACAACAAAAAAAGGTTTCAGCCATTATCCCCCCAAAATGGCTGGATTCATACAAAAAAATGAATGAAATATATAATATGCTGCTTGTTTTCTTAAGTGTGCACAAGTTGTATATGTAAAGTGTGTGGAACTGCGCCTGATAGTACATGTGTGTGTGTGTGTGTGCGCGGGTGGGTGGGTGTGCATACTTGTATGTGTGGAAATTGTGTATAAATGGATGTAAATGTGTGGCGATAGTTCATTTGTAAATCATTTCTTGTCAGAAATATATGATTTTTTTCTGGAACTGGGGTTTTTAAAGGGTTTTCGCGTTTGTTATTATCCACTAAGTTTTCTCTCCTTTATTTATAGAGCCTGAATATAAGGAAGATGAAGTTGATACTGTTAAGAACTGTGTTCTTGTCTGAATGCCAGATGCTATGTGGGTAACGTTTTGTGTTTTTGATACAGTGTAGTCTTACAGGTGGTTGGCAATGTTTTGGAGAAATCAACATCCATTTTCAGGGTGAAAGTTGGTAGAGTTGGGATGTGTTGAGTGACATAAGAAAGGTGAAGGAATTGGCCCAAGGGAAATAAGTTTTCAGAATCATCCTTGAGCTACTACAGAGTGGTCACACTTCATTCAAATTTAAAATAGTGTAGTATAAAATATATTCTCACTTTAGTGCAGAGTTTGAAATAAAGCTAATCTCAAAAACTTTTGTAAAATTCAAGTGTGTGTTATTCGTACGAGAAAATTTGTTTTGAATTATGCAAGGTCTTCAGGAATGCATCCTCGCATGAAATGTGTCCACACTACATAATTCTGACAGTATTTGTGCAGTTATTTGAAACATTTTGATAACCACCATGCATGGCATTCTGTAGCACAACCTTTGAAGTCACTCAAAGACTTACCATCCTTGAAGCCTTCAGCCAGTGGTAAGAAGAAAATGCACATTATGAGATTTGGAGAGTATAGTTATGGGTAAGCACCACAGTGTATGATGCTTGGAGACAAGGCATTGTCTTGCAGAACTACATATGTTGTGGGGCAATTCAGGCAAATACTTTCATACTCAGGTGAGAACCTCCTACCTTGCATCTTTGGCAGTAGTATCATCAGGAATGGACGTAAGCACTAAGCTGTGCAAATCCAAAGATTTCCAGGATCCTTTTTACAGTTTTTTTTACTGAAATTTCGTGACTGGGCAACAGTAGCGATTTCCATACAAATTATTATGGGTTGTTTCTGTGGCTGTATTGGAAACACCATGTTTTGTTACCAGTGGCAGTCTGAGATGTTCGCTGTTTTGTTCGGGACAGATTTCTCACATGTCAGATTCAGTCAAAGAAAAGACATGATAAACTGGTCAAGTAGTAATGCTTTTGACTTTAATTCAGGAGGTGTCAGTTTGAATCTTGACTGGTGTTTTGTGTTTTTCCACAGTCACTATAGGCAAATTCAAGAATAGTTCTTGAAATTAAGGTGCAAATCTCATCTTTTCTAGTTCAATATTCACAGCCTTCCTATTTGATGCAGTAGTCTGTGTTATAGCATTGTTAAATAAACTGCAATTAAGTTATAAAACAGTTGACACTAGGAAACCGCGTCGCAACGGAATTGTGAGAATACTGGTATACTCCGTAGCCAGGAAGTTGAGTTTCTCAGTCTTACGCGAGTTGCGTTGCCGTTTCCTCAATTTGCCCAGATCCATTAAAAAAACGTGTTCATCTCAGGCTGATAATTCTCGGAAATTGCGGTTGCCAGTTTCATCGGTGTGCCCTCGCTCAAACAGGCACAGTGTTTGGGCTACTGGATATTAATCCGTGACTAGCTGAGGTGTAAGTGTAGCAAGGTGGTTGTGCACTGGAAGAAGAAATGTTATGCGGAAAAAAGTGAAGGATTATGGCTGGGTCTCTTGTAACAGGAAAGAAGAAGATTACACAGAATGACTTGAGACGTATAATGATTGAAGAGAAACGCAAGATCTCAAAAACAGTTAAGAAGATAGATTCTCCATTAGCTAAATATCCTTTTTAGCGTAAAAATTTTAGGTTATGTATTGCCGAGTGCATTATTTGTGACATTAGTATTATGTCGATTTGTGTGTATATTGTATTTCTCAACAGACGATTTTTATTGAGGTTTACTCAGCCTTTGAATGTAGCATCTTTGTTATTTCGACTTCAATATTACAGTGATGTTAACAAGGTTTAGGGGTTAGTGTGCGGAATACTGTACAAGGCCCAAAGTTACTCTACGTCGAAATGTGCTTTCTGATTCCACATAAATTCTTTACTTAATTAAGACATATAATATTCTGGGCAACAAGGTATGTTACACACCTGGATTAGTGATAAGTGAGTAGTAAACAAACCTGTGCTCAGCAGAAAAACTATTCCATTGTCGCTCTGTGGAGTGCAAGTCCCAAATGAACTACTATCATAGAATTAAAATTGTCATTCACGGTGAGAAACTGATGCCAATCAGCCTGCACTTCATTGTGACCTAGGCATAGTTCATTGGTAAAAAGAACATTTTATTTGTCAGGCATGTACGTTTTAGTATAAAAGTTAAAAATTGTTACACGATGAAATAAAATTATTTTCAACATGTTAGATACAAATTTTCACTTGCAGTTGGTTACGCGAACATGATCGCATATCCTAGTGATGCATTGGTTACTTTTTAGTATTTCTCTAAATTCATGATTATCTATATATACTTAACTTATTTCTCACATACAATGACAGCGGACAGCTGTTATGCACAGTGTGTGAATCAGTAGTCCGCAGTGAAGCAATATGGAAGGTCCATATCAATAGCAAGAAACATCGTGAAAACTTTGCTGATGCCAAGAGGAGAAGAGAAGAAACAGTGAATTTTGTGTGTCCTTCAGTTCCAAAACTCAAGAGACCAGCACAGACTGAAGAGACCCCACCCCCTAAAAAACTCAAAGGTTAATATAGCAATTCATACCTGCTTTTTTGTTTGAGGAAGCTTGGTTTGGTTCCAGCTGAGATGGGACATTCCAATTTGGTGATCTTTACCACCTGAGGCTCACCCAGCCTCCTGTCTGATGGGTGTCAGAATTTCTTCCCTTTTTGTAAATTGGCTGGGACATGAAACAACCACTCACCCCCATCTAACTCTATCTCCATGGCTTTAGTCCACAAGTGAACTATACCGACTGAGCAACCTCTGCTTGTCGGCAAAGTTAGTGCCAACTTTAGCTGATAGAGAGTGTCGTGTGGTCAGCGCAAATATTTCCCACGGTTGTTACTTTCTGTTTTCTGGAACGGCTTACCCGCATCTAGTGCCGATATTAAGAATACCTGGAGCTATACCTCAATTTCTCCAAATGTCTTTGTGGTGTGGTCCTTAATTAAAAAATATATCATTACACAGTTTGAAAGACTGCCTCGGTGGTCTAATGACCAGAGTTCCTGGCTACAGAAACAGAAGTCCTGTGTTCGATTTATGGCGCTACCAGATTTTCTGAGAAGTAGTGGGTCTGGAATGGGCTCCACTGAGCTTCATGAGGATAACTGAGGAGCTGTTTCAAGGAAATAACGGCTCCAGTCTAGAAAACCAAAATTAACGGCCGTAGGGGTTTGTTGCGCTGACCACATGACACCCTCTATCCGCTAAAGTTGGCACTGATTTTGCCAACAAGCAATGGTCGCTCGGTCGGTGTAATTCGTTTGCAGACTACAAGCCACACAGTTCGAAATCTGTAAAGATCTCATGGACTTATTCAGTAGTAACATTGTCATGTGTCCTTCATGTTGCTTTGGATACAGCTTGCATTGATTGCCAATTTAATGCAGTTTATGGACAGTTGTATTTCATGGGCTGTCTTCTTCTCTTTGCATGATTCACTTCACTTAGTGGGGGGTGGAGTCCAACTGGGTCCACTCGGCACGGCGACCACTGATTAGCTTATTGTAGCCTGCCCCGGGTGATTATGATAATGGAGAATTTGGTGGAATGAAGATTGGCAGGGGAAACAGAAGTACTCGGAGAAGACCTGTCCCAGCGCCACTTCGTCCATCACAAATCCCACTTGACCAGGCCCGGGCTCGAACCCGGGCCGCCACAGTGGAAAGCCAGCGACTAACCGCTTGCGCTATGGCACGGCCCTTCAGTCTCCCATAGCTTTGTGACATGCTTCTTGGTCACAGAGGCAACGTCTTTTTTTTAAGATTCTAGTTGATATTAATTTTAAAATGTTATATCTATGACAGGAATTCTAAAAAATGCACCACAGCCGAAAGTGCCAGAAGACTTTTTCGATTTGGGAAATCATGCAACTGTAGAAGAAGTTAATCGGAATGAGGATACTGTAATGGAAGATGGAGAGTATCCATCAGACGATGATTCTGAACCACCACCTGAGACCACCAAAACAGTTGCATCAAGTCAAGAAGAGGTCCTTCCAGAAGGTTTTTTTGATGACCCCCTGCTGGATGCCAAGGTGAGGAATAATGTATCCCATTAATAGGGGCTTGGAAATATCCGAAATAACAGTGGACTTCCGTGCATTATGTTTACTTACAATTCTTTTCCATGTTAGGATCTTTTTTATTTTTCTTTTATTGTTAGTGGGGTGGAACTAAGTCCCTTGTACTGCGGCCACTTCTGGCCTATTGTACCAGACCCAGATGATATGTGAGGGTGATTGTGGAGCAATTGGTGGAATGAAGATTGGCAAGGGAAACCGAAGTACTCGGAGAAAACCTGCTCCAGCGCCACTTTGTCCACAGTCCTGGCTCTACCAGGTGACTCACTAGAATGAGTCACACAGACTGATTTTACTTGTGTATATGGAACAGTATTTACTGCTGCATAGAAAACATGCTGGGTTCTTCTTGTAAGTATTCTCCCTAATATTCAAAGTAGTGTAAATCTTTTTTTTTTTTTTTCATTCATTGATTTTGGATATGAGAAAGAGGCAAAGGGCAGGAGGAAATATTCAGTGTTTTAGACACGAATTGAGTTTTGAAGACCATATATTTGTATGTATGTGCATGTGTGCAGCAAATGTAATGTGTGTACAGTGGAAATTGTATTATTACTGTGTTGGAGTTGAGGTTCTTATGGCAGTGACTATGTAGGTCACTGTCTTAACTTGCCACCAGCTTTCCTGGTTTGTTGACCCTGAAGATGGAAGCAGTATTTTCCTCCAAAACATCAGGTTGTCTCTGAACTACATGTTGTTACATTCCAGAAGACTGTATTTTTCTTAGTGACTGCTGTGAGAATCTCAAATCCAACACAGTACAGTTCATGTTTAGTACAGAAAAATCTGCTGATATTAATGACGGAGTTCTGCTGTTGGTCAGTAAATTTTGTCATGTATCGGCTCACATATTCTGCAGAAAGTGTTGTTTCCAACTTGGAATATTTTATGATAAAGTAAATAAAGTTGTCTCTGTGCTTAACTAATTACGCACTACACCATGAAGGCGTAGGGGGGAGTGGATGTATAGATCCACATTATCTTGACATTGGCACTAGTTGGAGTTGAGTGGTCAGCTTCCCGCTCCAGTTGCTTTACTCCCGGAGAAAGAGTCCCCAGTACACAATGGATAGGAGGCTGATGTGTACGAGGGGCGTTCAAGTTCTAAGGTCTCCGATTTTTTTTCTCAGGACTGGGAGGAGATAGACACATGCAGTTTAGTTTAAAATACGTGTGCACGCTTTGTGAATGCGTGACAGAGATGGCAGCACTCTACGGCACACAGAACTCTAGTGGTAGCAGCGAGAGTGAGGAGTGTTTTTGATACTTAAAATTTCGACGTTTTCGTTACAAGAACAGTGAGTAATCATTCGTTTTCTCCACTTGCGTGGTGCGACACCCATTGAAATTCATCGCCAGTTGAGTGAGACATGTGGTGATGGTGTCATGAATGTGAAAAATGTGCGCTCGTGGGTGCGACAGTTCAAAGAAGGCCGAACATCGTGTGACAACGAACCAAAACAATCTCGGCCTTGCACTAGCCGGTCTGACAACAGGGTCGAGCGAGTTGAGAAAGTTGTTTTGGAGGATCGGTGATTGAGTGTGGAAAACATCACCTCCAAAGTTGGCATTTCTGTGGGATGTGCACAAAATCCTGCATGAAGACCTGCGAATGCGGAAAGTGTCCTCCAGGTGGGTTCCACAGATTTTGGCGGATGACCACAAGGCTGCACGCATGGCAATGATGAAGACATGAATGGGACTTTCTTTTCATCAACTGTGACAATGGATGAGATATGGATGCCGTTTTTCAATCCGCTATTGCATCAGCAATTTTCCAGTGGTCAAAACAGACTCCTACAGAAGCGTTCGCAGCGGCCATGGAATCATGGCGTCGACGTTGTGAAAAATGTGTACGGCTGCAGGGAGATTACGTTGAAAAGTGACAGAAGTTTCAAATTTTTTGTATGATTATTGTGTGAGAAAAAATCGGAGACCTTAGAACTTGAACGCACAACGTATTTATGTGTGGTTTTGTATGGGTGTGAAACTTGCTCTATGAAATTACGGGAAGAATTTAGACTGAGGGTGCTTGAGAACATTGTGCTGAGGGGAATATTTGGACCAAAAAAGCGATGAAGTGACAGGAGGCTGGAGAAAACTGCATGATTAGGAGCTTCATAACTTGTACTCTTCTCCAAGTATTATTAGAATGATCAGGATAAGGAGGATGAGATGAGCAGGGCATGTAGCGTGCATGGGGGAAGAAGAGGATTGCATGTAGAATTTTACTAGAAAGACCTAGATATAGATGGGAAGATGAAATGGACCTTAGAAAGATAGGATGGGGTGGTATAAAATGGATAAATCTGGCTCAGGGTAACGACCTGTAGAGGGCTCTCATGAAGACAATAATGACTATTCGGGTTCCATAAAATGTTGTGAAATTCATGAGTAGCTGAGTGACTGGCAGCTTTATTCAGTTGCTCTGTTTTGACAGGCACGCAATGTGGAATACAAAGACCCAATTGAAGAGGAATGGGAGAAATTTCAGAAAGAAATGAAGGAAGAGGCCACAGTATCTGCACAGATCATTGCTGAAGATCAGGAAGAAGCCACAGCAGAAAGGCAAATCGATGAGATTGATGAACAGATGCGGAATTGGTCCAGGTAAAAGAATTATTTTATATGAGGAAGCCAAACAGGGAACTGAAGGAGGAAGTCTGTAATAACAAAACATATCGTGTAGATGCATGGCTTACTTATGGAATTGTCTGTGTTATTTATATTTTACATGGCCGTGCCATAGCTCAAGCGGTTAGTCGCTGGCTTCCCACCGCGGCAGCCCGGGTTCGATCCCGGGTCTGGTCAAGTGGGATTTGTGGTAGACGAAGTGGCACTGGGGCAGTTTTTCTCTGAGTACTTCGGTTTACCCTGTCAATCTTCATTCCACCAAATTCTCCATCATCATAATCACCTGGGGTAGTCCACTCAGTGGCCGCCATGCTGAGTGGACCCAGTTGGACTCCACCCCCCACTAAGCAAATTAAAAGAAAAATTGTATTTTACAGAGTGCTAGACCTGGTGATTGAGAAAGAAGCAGTAGTGAAAGCTGTGAATAGAAGAAACAATGCTGGTGACGATGACCTTGAAGCGTCTAGTGCAGATGAAGCTGAATTTGATGAGTACCTAGACTGGAGAGCCAAGAAGTCATATAAATAATAAATTTATGGAAGTCATGTCCCACAGAAGAAATAAGCCATTGCAAAGTGAAAGACATTTGTTTCATATTGTAGATTTAAAAGACACATAATACATTTTCTGGTGTTATGTCGTGTAAATTTTTGTTAAAATACTAAGATTGTACAGTAACTGTATTATAAACGAGTTTTTTGTTTTCTAAGCCAAAAAGTAATCTCAAGAAATGTTGACAGTACCATTGGTTCTCTGAGAGTGGGAAGCATCAGTTTTCTCTGCTAACCTTTGCTGAGCTTTGATGTGGAAGTTTTGAAGAAGACAAGGAAAGAATGGAAGGAACTGTCTTTTATCATGAATATTTAACAGAATGGAGTGTTATCACATTGCTGTAAGTATCTGAACAGTCTCTCACTATATATATATATATATATATATATATCTTTTTTTGGTTAAAGTGAAGAATATTTTCATTCTGATCTTGTGTTCTGGCTCTTATTCTCTGGAACAAATCTTATTGGAGGTAATTTTGAACCTAAACAATACTTTGTTATCAAGGAATCCATCCAGGTCAAATCCTTCTTGCAGATTTTCATAACAAGCTTATTTTTTACGGTGAGGAGTTGTTAGCCCCATGCCCAACCCCAAAGCTGGAGGATCACACCTCGTCAGCTGCCCGCGACTGCTTATCCAATATATTCACAGCTATCCGTACCTGGAGTGTGTCTGCTCCATCCGCAACCTGAGGACGTGCCATGTCATGGTGACAAGGAACCCACCTAACATATCAGCTTCTCAAGAAGTGCTCAGCTCCATGTATGAGTGACTTTTGTTATGTTGATACACAACAACACATTTTACCAGGACCAATTTTCAGAAACACAAAAAATAAGCACAGAAGTTGAAGACAAAAAGAATGAATGACACCCTAAAGAAATAAATGCAACTTGAAATGTTTTGATTTCATTCTCAGTGTTGTTACTCTGATTGGTTACTGTCTTTTGCAAGTATTGGTATATGCACTACAAACTTTGGTTTATGGAAAGGAACAAAAAATAAAATTAGCTGTTTGTATCCAGAGGTCCAGGTTCGATTCTCGGAGCTACCAGAATTGTTTTCTGAGAATTAATGAGTCTGGAATGGGGTCCACTAAGCCTCATGATGATAATTGAGGAGCTGTTTCAAGGAAATAGCGCCTCTGGTCTAGAAAACCGAAAGAGAAACGGCCGTGGGGTTTCGTTGCGCTGACCACGCGACACCCTCTATCCACAAAAGTTGGCACTAAACTTTGCCGACAAGTGGCGGTCGCTCGGTTGGTATAGTTCGCTTGTGGACTAAAANAACATGGGGCCCCCCCCCCCCAATTGAGTAGATTGTACAGCAACCTCACCGATATCCAACTTGTTTGGTTATGTGGTGTATTGATTACATGAATTTCTCAGTTGCATAGATCCCCAGTATGATATGAAAACAGATGTTTTCACTTTAATTCTTGCATTGGAGTCTTCTAGGTGACACAGCAGGTTGATTGGTGAAAGAATTGGGATACATGTACTCTTATGAGTTCACGGATTCAACTGGCCTTCATTACAGTGAGTTAAAATGATTCAGCTGGCTTCTGCTGTAATAACATCTGTGCGATGGTGGATAACACTAGTGCTGCAAGTGTTAGCTGGGAAAACTACTGCAGGGCAGGTGGAAGTTTTTGAATAGTTTTATAAAAATGGTAAATTTTCTTTGAAATGTTTATCAATTAGATGAGAATTCCAGAAGCTTAGATACCAGATAACCAGGAGTTTGTAGTGTAATTAATTGTCTCTAACTTCTCTTGATGGTAAAATTTAAATTTATTGGTCTTGTATCATGCAGATACAGTGAATTTAAACAATTCAATTGAGGTTTAAGGGGCCATGAATTGCAGTTTAATTTTTGCTATCTCATATTGTAATATGTATGAGGAAGTATTGTGACTGAAAAATTGTATCTAAGAGATTTTGATGGACTTACATATTTTTACAGTACAGCAACTGGCTATTGGCTGGAGTTTGAGTCCCGGTAGTGTCAAGAATTTCCTCTTCTTCAAGTCGTCCAGACCGTCTCTAGAGTCCACTCAACCTCCTATCCAATGGGTACTGAGGGTGTTCCCCTGGGGTAAAGTTGCCCATACGTGAAGCTGATAACTCAACTCAAACTAGTGCTGAGGTCAAGAATACGTGGGTGTATACATCCACTCTCCATACACCTTCATGACATAGTTAATTAGTTAAGCACAAGGCAGCTTTTACATATTTTTTAACCCTCCCCCAGAATGTGAAAAGGTGTTTGGAATATCGCCTTGCCTGCATGAAAATGTATGGATGTGTGTATTGCTAGCACCCCAATGATTCTGTTCATATTGGTGTTCGAGAGTTTGTCAGAGGTTAGCGCCCAATGAATGAGAACACCCAAGCTGCAGAAATAAGTACCCTTAAGATTGGTCTCAAAACATGAAATGGCATTTTTTTCAAAATTGTCTGTATTGGTTTTGATTAAATTTCAGTAATTTATGGAAACTAAAACCCTAAATGAAACAGCATATGTGGTATCTTCAAGTATGTAACATTAAATATACTAAGGACCCAAAGGTGAAAAGTCAGTTTTCTCAGTACAGGGTTTGTCGGGTGGATCCATTGCTCGGCAACAGTTAAGTTTCCAAGTTAATATACTTAAGGCCTATTATATGTGAGATAGTATGAAAAATACATTTGCACTGGTATTTCGCATTCTTGTTAAAATGTTGAATGTCACAATAAAACTTGTATTTTTGCAGATTTTTATTGTCCTTCTCGTTTAGTTAGATACTCCCAACCTCTGAGAGTCAGATGTTACATTGTCCTGAGTATGGTGTGCTGTGCCACACAGGTGATGGATAGGCAGAGACATGCAGCATGATTAATTATGTTCCCTTCCAAACAAATGCAGTTTCCTTTCATTATTGTGACGTATTTGCGTTATGCAGGACACTCCCCCTTACAGTGGTGATGTAACAGCATTGGAGCAACTGCCGCTGCTACGGTAACAGGCCAGTAAACACTCCGTTGCCTCTTGCGGTGACATAACAGCACTTCCCCTTTTGACGTATCAGGGGATACCGCGATTACTACACAGCAATAAACAACTCTTGTCATAGTTCCCCAGCAACACCTGTAACATGACGTTATGCAACAGTGGTAGCTATCACGTAACTGTTTTTTGTGTTGTCAGTGCGGAAGCCCAGTCAGTTGCAGTCTAGCATTTGCCGGAGTGAGTTGAAGTCCATTGTTATTGAGTTATATTGAGTGAATGGCAGTGACTCCAGCAGGAGAAGTAAGTGTGATACTGCAGATGGCAGTAGTTTTGAACTGTAAATTGTGTAAATATAAGAGAAGTGGAACAAATTCAATATATCTAAGATGGCATGAAGTTATTTGTCGCGTGACATTATGTCAATTAATTTTGGTTAATGCTGTTCTCATTGCTGTATCGTGTAAGGCGTCTGCTGTCATCAGCTTCTTGAACACAGGGATCATGAGTTTGAATCCTACTCGAGGCATGATGAATGTCTGCTCTCTTCTGTGTTTATGTTTTACTGTCTTGCCTCGATGTTCAAGGTACCCAGAAAATGAAGTATTCATCACTGCCTAACAGTTTATGAAGCTGAATAACACAGAAGATCACATTCTAAATTTCTTTTTATTAATGTATGATGTTATTGTACAGTAACATGTCATGAACAGTTACGCAAATCAGTACTTGTTAAACACATTCAGAAATTGTGAAACATTTTCTCTCTCAATTTTAGACCAAAACAAAACAAAAAACAAACTCCGTGGCCTGTAGTCTGCAAGCAAACTATACCGACCTAGTGATCACCACTTGCTGGGGAAGTTAGTGCCAACTTTTGTGGGTAGAGGGTGTCACATGGTCAGTGCAACGGATACCATGGCCATTAATCTTGGGTTTCTAGACCGGAGCCACTATTTCCTGGAAATGGCTCCTCAGTTATCCTCACAAGGCTGAGTAGACACCGTTCCAGACCCAATACTTCTCAGAACATCTGGTAGCACCAGGAATTGAACGCAGGACCTCTAGATCTGTAGCCAGGAACTCTGATCACTATACCACAGAGGCGGTCCAAATTTTTGGGACATCTGTCCGAAAGTGATAGCCTACAGAATCTGTTACTGTCATAATGGCTAATTCAGAAAGTTTGTATTTTTGCTTCTCCTAAGCAGTATCTTAGCAATAGCATCAGAATTAGCCACATATTGCTTCTTCATTAACAGAAAGCAAACGAGTCTTATCCTTAATGATTTAATATATGTCATTATTACAACTTAGTAGTATAGCAACAGGTTACAGGCTGGATGGCTGGGGTTTGATTCCTGGCAGGGACTAGAGATTTTTATCCAATTCACAGTGTAAATACTGGCTCTGGGGCCCACCCAGCCTACTGTACAATGGGTACTGGGGAACTTTACCCTGGAAGTAAAGTGGCCGGGTTGTGAAGCTGACCACTCACCTCCATCTAGCATGGAGTTCTAGAATGGTGGAGCTATACCTCCATCCCCTAATACATCTTCATGGCATGGTGCTTAATTAAGCACAGACATAACTTTACCTTTACTCTTACCTGATTATAAAAATATATTTTATAATAAAATTCTGCCTCATATAATTATAAATGCTTTATTTTTCCAAGAGTAATGTCAGATAATCTCACATTAGACGCTGTACATCTTTCCAGATCTGTGCCTCTGAGGTGTTTATGGAGTCACCAGTGGAGCACATCACTGACTTAAAGGTACATCACATCAAGAATGCTATGAAATTAACGCACCTTACACATTTTAAAGTAATATAAATAAAATAAATATTGTAATGTGTTTTGCTACTGAAGACGCTGTTCAGATTGTTAATTGGTTTATTTAACAACCTACAAGTCTTGGCTACAATTAATTACAACAATATTACGGGTTTACACACTTTACTTGCCCTACACACAAATCTGTCCACTCTGTCTTCAGTGGTCTACACGTATTCACAGTACGGGAGCTATATAAGTGTCACTGTATTACACACTCCCAATTACTTCTCAGTTATCACAAACTCTCACTGATTATCACACACACGTCTGGTTCTTGTTTCCGCCACTGCTGCTAGATTCCAACTCCACTGTCTCCGGCGGCTGCTACACTTTAACTCGCTTCGT